TCTATACATGGCAGACATCCCTCTTCCAGAAGACGCCTCATCAGCTCTGTACGCCGACGACACTGCTATCCTGTAATGTGCTATCCATTATCTTAAGTACTACAGTTGAACCTCTATGAGACAAATTTCAAGGGGTAGGGGAAAAATTTGTTTCATCGAGGTTTAATCAATACTGCAATTATTCCTCTTGTAGAGGTTTTGTGCTAAGAATATTTGTTGTACAGAGGTTAACATGTCACAAACAAATTCGTCTTATGGAGGTTTTTAACCTAATTACTACGTTGTAGTTGTACAGAAGTGTTTTTAGCATTGCCCTTTATGAAAGTGTCAAGGGGATAAAAAAATTGTCTTATCGATAAATTTGTTTTACCGAGGTTCCTACTAAGAAGGTTTGACTGTAATATATAAATGTGAAAGTTTGGATGTTTGTGAGTATATGGTTTGATAAAAGATAAAATGTAAATTTGTAAAGAGGAATAGCTTCAATCAGCTTTTAACTCAATGGCCTGCTCTCCATTGTCTCACCCAGTGTTTCCATTTGAGGGATAAAATCCCTTTCTAGGGATATTTAAGGCCTTCGAGAGATTGAGGGATGACTAGGGATAGTCAGTGAAATTGAAGGATTTTTTAGATTTTCCAGGGATTTCAGGCCTTTGTCATTATAAATTTGAAATATTGCTAAAATCAAATCAAATCAAATCAAATCATTCTTTATCCATTATACATAAAATAACATGTATTGAATAGAGTCAAATAGGCTATAAACACATATATCTACATATTACAAAGTGCTTAAAATATACTATTAAGATAAGTGAAGAATTTCTAATTGAATATATTAAAAATATAACACTATTGCAATCACAATAACATTAGCAGTTATTAAAATAAAAAACATATACCCATTTTCCGGGCTTAGGTAAAAATATACAAAGAAAAGAAAAAGTAATCATTGTGAAAATTTAAATTGTTCCCCTAATTTTGCTATGGAGTTCAAATTATGTAAGCTACTAGGCTAATTTTTATTAAAAAAAAATTCTTCTATGGAATAAAATGGAAATTTAATTAAAAAGTCTTTTAGTGTTCTTTTAAATTTATTCAAATTGTCTTCCGTCTTTATATAAGCCGGCAGGTGTTGCAAAAAATTTAAACCTGAATAATAAGTTTTCTTTTTGAAAAATTCCAATTTATGTCGGGGTAGGGATTTAAACCTAGTGTTATAGTCACCAGTATTGCTTGAAGTGGATGACAATTGAATTTGTTTTGCATAGACAGATGCTTCATATATATACAGACTATACACCGTTAGGATTTGTAATTCCTTAAAATATCTCTTAGCTGATTGTTTTCTTTGCAGTTTCATCATTAGACGAATAGCTCTCTTTTGTTTGATAAGGATAGAATCCAAATTGGTCTTTGATGTTGCTCCATAAATAGATATTCCATAAGCTATGTGACTATGCAGTAATGAAAAGTATATTATCCTCAAAGTGTCTATGCTGCAGATCTGAGACATCTGTCTCAAAGCACATACACCAGAAGTCAATTTTTTAACAACATGTTTAACGTGATTGTCCCAAGTAAGATTTTTGTCGATAATTAAACCAAGAAATTTAGTCTGTTCAACTTGGTCTATCTTATCATTGTTTATACAAATTTTTTCCTACAGTCACCCGACAAAGTTGGCTTCCTTGTACTGTTTATAGTACAGAAAGCTGCTAATTGCTGCATATTTATACTTTGCCGTACGGTTTATACTTTGCCGTACGGTTTATACTTTGCCGCACATCAGGATTCCAACGAAACAACACAAAACAGCGTGGTTCCATTATGCACGTAATCCGTGTACGCTTGGAAATAGGTTGGCAACACTTAAAGATAATTATACTATGAACAGCTGATTGACTATTATAACTACGATTTAACCTGTCATTTCGTGTTTATAGTTTCGGTATTTCTGAACTTTCTGGACTTTTCTTTTAAACGTTTTTAAAACCTTCCTACGATCTTAATAAACAAGAAAATACCTTTTAAGAATTTTTTTTAAGCGCGGAAACCACTTCAAATTACAAAAAAATACGGAACTATATTCTCAAAACGCGGAGCACATTTCTTGCCGAGGAAAAATAGCGGAGTGATATGGACCGCGGGTACTACTTTCTCTAGGGCACCATTTGTGTTGCCAGCTGAACCTAAAAACGTGTTGCATAGTGTTTGAAAGACTAATTATTTATATGCTTTATAGTGACTGTAGGAAAAATATAATGTGTAACACGAGTGAAAAAGGCCTTTGCTGCACTCGAGATCATTCCACACTCGCCTGCGGCTCGTGCGTAAACATTGCTCTCGTGTACAGCAAAGTGCCACTTTCACCACTAGTTACACAAATAACTATTGCTTCAAATTTTGTTGTTGATTGTTTGGTTGAAAAATATATGAAGTTTGATTTATTTGCATTTATAAGATTTTTTTCTTTTAAAAATTCATGAGTTACTTGAAGATTTTTTGAAGAAGATGTTTCAATTTCAGAATTTGAATTTCCATTTAGCAGGATATTAGAATCATCAGCATACAGACACATGGATCCGTCACTCCCAGGAATAGTCCCAGGCAAACCTCTAATATAACAAAGAAATAGTAGAGGGCCCAGGATCGATCCCTGGGGGACTCCATATTGTAGTGTCTGATGCTGTGATTGAATTTTTTCAATGTAGTTTATTTTATAATGTTCTATGATGTCATCCACTTCAACAAACTGGTGTCTATTTTTAATGTAGGATTCAAACCATTTAACCCATTGGCGACGACTTACGAGCGTTACTCGTACGGCCGCTGCAGGCCCGGCGGCCGACTTACGAGTGCCGCTCGTGTCACCGCTAGGCAGCGCCATTAGTTATTTAGTTATTATTATTTTTCGCCCTTTTTGTTTCTTCTTACTATTATAATGTTTATAAATATCTTGCTTCTTGATTTTCGTTTTTACTCATTTATTTTAGCGAATAAAAAACAATTTTGTGTTGCCATGGAAACCACATATCACCAAAAATCAGCTGCAGTAAGGTAAATAAACATTTTTTTTATGTTATTACTATAAAAGTACACAACTTTTGATTTTTCTATGTAGGGAATCGATTAAACTTTATAATAGTAGTGTTATTTGGTGTCTGGATTAATCTTGGAATTTGTATATCAAGTTTACTTTCAAAATATTGTTTTTAAATTTTTTATTTTTATAATCTTTATATATATATATTTTTTTTGTTTAGAACTTTGACTATCCAATTACCACTTTTCTGTAGACAATTTTACTGTGAACAAAATGGTGAAAGAATTATTAATTTATTACCTAAGGTTTTCTTTCTATAGCAGTTAGAGTAAAAGTCTACAAATTCGGTAAAATTAATTGCCGCCGGAGGGTGCTGCAGGTAGCGCATTAATTCCTTCCCCAATGGGTTAAGTTCTTTACCACGGGCTCCAAGTTCATTTAAAACGTTAATTAATTTATTGTGCGACACACTGTCAAAGGCTTTACTGAGGTCTAAGAATATTCCTACAACCTTTTTCCCTTTATCAATTGCATTTATTATAGATTCTATAAATTCTATACCAGCTGTTACTGTGGATTTTCCTTTTCGAAAGCCATGTTGCTCTTTGTCCAGTAACTGATTGATTTCAAGATATCTAGACAGCTGAATATAAACTATACGCTCATAAATTTTGGAAAAGGCAGGTAAAATTGAAATGGGACAATAGCATGATGGATCTTTAGGATTACCTTTTTTAAATATGGGAATAACTTTAGCCAACTTTAATTTGGATGGAAATATGCCTGAAATGAGAGAGGAGTTTATTAAATGGTTTTGATATGAAAAGTAGTGATTTTTTAATTAGAGTAATTGGTATTTCATCATGCCCAGAAGAAATTTTATTTTCAAATGAAAGCACGACTTTTTTAAGATGGTCTTCTGTTATTGTTTCAAATTTAAAAAAGTTTGTCATGGCAGTAACTTTTTTTTGGGTGAAAATGTTGTGATTTGATGTTGAATCAATGTTTGGCAAAATAAGCTTTTCAACAGCAGTTGTAAAGAAATTGTTGAAAACATTACTCACAGCAACAGGATCATATTCATTGGTTTATATTAATTTCTGTTATATTATATTATTTCCATCGGTGATCCTACTGTCTATGGTGACTGGTTTCGAGATTAAAATCTCATCATCAGGCAGATTAAAATGTCATTTCACTCAAGTTGAGGTCGTCGGTGAACATATAAACACAAAATAAAACACGGAAGGACATTATACTTATATTGGTATACAACTGGCCAGTACAGGACAATTCTCCCTCACAGGCTGTTCTGTAAACGCCAGTTGTTTATGTGTTCACCAACGAGCTCAAATTGGGTGAAAAAACATTTTAATCTGCCTGATGATGGGATTTAATGTTGAAACCGGTTGCCATAGACTACAGTAGGATCACTGACGGACAGGTAATATAAACCATTTAATTCAATAAGTGATCCTGGGCCACTAAGGATAATTCCACTTTTTGATTAGTAAATATTTTTACGTTTTCTGTGTACGTTGTATGGGTTCAACAACAGGTACCTAAAAAAAAAATTAAAAGATAATGAATATATTACATGTAACTGTGTTCTTGTGGATTCAGAAATTTTCTCAATCACGTATCTTCACATAACTAGTCTAAGAGATAGGCTAGGATGAATTGGTACACAATGTTAAGACTTACTCACAACCTATTTAATTTTGAAAACCTGCAATTTATACAAGAATAAATAACAACTTACCTTATCGTTAATTCAAACCACATTCAATATATTCAACACTATATTTTGTACTATGTACACAAGGTAAATAAATCAGGTTCACAGATAAAATGTAACAATAATAATTTTAGTACTACACTAAAATATTCTTTTGTTAAAACTGTTTGAAATCAATTAAATTACTATTTTAAAAATTATGTTAAACTTCAATCATTAAAAACCAGAACTATTAATCTTTATTTATATCACAATTAATTTGACAAAGAAAAACATTTTTATGGTTTCTTGAGCTTAATTCTTCACATTACCATATTTTAGGGAAAGGAACGACACCGGATGTGGACGCCTGTGATCTACGACTAGAAAAGCTGGTGTAACCTTGGTCTTGGCTTGAGTAAGAATCATCGTCGTATCTCCTTGGCCCTCCTCTGCGATGGTTCTGGTGTGAGGAGCTGGTGTAGTTATCCGAGTTACTTATTGAGTCACTGTAACCGTCTTCTCCGTAATCACCCTCCTCCTGGTCTTCTTCTTCTTCTTCTTCATAATAGTCATCATCACTCTCATCGCCCAATAACAGTTTCTCGTCTTCGTGAGAAATCAATTCTGCGATTGCTCTAGAAAATGATGTCAGATAAAAATTTGATCAAGAATAAAAACTGAACTAAATTTTACAAGTAATAGAGGGACATTAACATACCACTATCATGCAACAAAATATCTCTTTTAGAAAATATGGTACTTTAGGTTATTTTATTTTATTTATAAAGTGGATATTTATGTTTTAGAGGTTAAGTGGCAGAGAGGACTTGCTAGTCCTAACTTCTCTTAAATAAAGACATTGTTCATTACATTTAATTTCTTTCATAAACCAGTATATGAGGGTTGTCCATAAATTATGGTCTCAATCGAGCTCCTGTCTCAGTTGAGCTAGCTAGTTCAAATCTGAGACCCACATCGTGTTCCTTCCTTCATCCACTATTATTACTTTCCACCCCTGTGGGACTTGTGTCATAGTATTTGAAAACCACGTGGATGAAAATCGACCCTCCCATCAAGTATGAATCACGCTTTGTGAATAAAATAATATGAAAGACGGCAAGAGTGATCATCTTATTGGCAATAATACTGAGATATGAAGTAAGGAACACTACGTTGGTTTCAGATTTGAACTCGATTGCTAAGCTGCGACGGGAACACGATGATCATACTTCATTCACGGATAACCTTCGTGAGTATTTTATGGTTATGAAGTTTCTACGCTTTTTCAAACAATGAAAAACGAGTGAATAGTTTTTCTGTTGGTTTTGTTGGTGTTGTGTGAGATTCATAACACATTTTTGTTCATTTTGAAAACACACGCTTTACTTGTATGGCCCAATACAATACCTTACACAAAATTTCAGGTCTTTACAGAGAAAATCTTAGCCCTATGAACTCTGATGGCCGAAATATCGAACAAAAGACTAACATAACCAAACTTCCTTTTAAACTATCCATACAAGTAAAACTCAACAAAAACTGAAAGCCTTAGGCCGGCGACACACTATCCCATTTCGCCGGTCAGGACAAACGGGAGCCGTCAGGCGGGATGATTCGAACTCATGGGTTTTTATTGGGCGCAGTCACATTGTTGTGGTTGCGGTGCGTCGACAGGATCCACCGCATGCATGCTGCGGCGTAGAGGGACGACCGGACAATGAAAAAAAAGGCAAAACACATGCAGTTAAATGAGAACAGCCACGACATCTGGTTGTGCCGCACGTCCTACTGTTGTCGCTATCAACAGTGCTCAGCATGTGATGCTCCCGCTGTTCACTCAAAGTATCTTGTGTAGAGCAGAAATGTGTGACAGGGTAATGTCAATGCGGTAAAAGCGCATCCCGCTCAACCACATCCCGCCAAACAGAATAGTGTGGCGCTGGCAATACATCTGCTGCAACCTGGGAGTCAACTTTAAAACTACTATGTTTGGTCTCTTAGTTGACCACTGTTGTCAGTGTTGTAGACAGTAAGGTTTCATCAATGGCAGAACAGTTTGAGGTGTCACTGAAGATGTATCTTACAGTTCTGGTATGCAACTCATGAGAAGTCCAGCTGCCTGTGATCGACTAGTGAGTGAGGCACACCGAAAGTGGACGACTCTGATGGAAATTGACGAGATCCTTACAATAGTGTGTTCACCAAAAATTTAATTTAATAAAATATTTTTGAATTTTTACGATCATAAAATGAGAGGAAACATTAAATAGGTATAGTTAAATAATTAAATAACCCACGGAGTTAAATGGTTAACCGATGTCAGTGCCCCCAACCTTACCTCAACAATTTCCCCTCGTCTGAATCAGCTTCCCAGTTAGTAACTCCGGGATGAGCCACCTTATGTTCCAACAGCTGATCCAATCTCTGTCTTAACTCCTGTCAGACAATGAACGTATATGAGACCATTATGAACTTTATTCTACTTAAAAGGTTTATAGTAAACTAGCTGAGTACCCGTCCTTCGTACGGGGTTGGTATACAATGCTTATTGTAGTTAAATACTCGTGCTTTGCATTTGCAATGAGAGAGGACACGTTTTGAGAAAATTTGGTTTACTATAATCTACGGTATACTATAGTATATAGAACATCTACCATAGCCATAATGTTCTACCACTTCATCTAAACAAATTGTTTAAAACAATAGAAAGAAGTAAAGTTCTCACAATCAGGTTTTTGTTGCTGCTTGGTTCAAATTAGCTTTTGTCATAAAATGTATAAAGAACTAATGGTACTGCACCCTGATGGTAAACCGTATAACCTTTTAATGCTATTGAATATCATAGAAAACAATTGTCTAGTTGAAACAGCTGGCAAAACTATTCAATTTCTTTTAAATATGAATACTCATAAGGTTAACATGGGAAACTCTAGAGCCGCTGGGGCGGAGCCCGAAAGGATTTTTGAGGTAAGAATATGTCTATATGTTAATCGGGAATGTGAGCTAACATCATACCAAATTTCAACACAATCCGACCAGTAGTTAATGCGTGATTGAACTTCAAACAAACACACAAACTTTCACATTTATAATATTAGTATGATTAATAAACTTACAAATTGTGGTAAGAGTTTTATGTTTTAAGTAGCTAGCTAATAAATTCCTACTGCAATAGTATCTGTAGACAAATAAGAACTGAGACGGCTTCTGTACCGTCGTTATAAAAAAATTGCAGAATTAATAGTTAAGTCTATAATTATTTTTTTACTTTTATTTTTTGTGTAACCACCCTTGGTTGGAATTTTTTAATTTATTTGTAAAGAAATAGTCTAATCCATGGTTTTGTTACTATCTAACACGGATCTTATTAGCATCATCAAATAGCCCAATGATGCCATCTGAGTCCAGAATCAATCTCACTTGTAATTGAACCAGGGACGTTCAGATTTAAAAAGGCGAGAACTACAACTCAGCTACCCAGACAACTTACAATTATTTTGAATCAGTTCAAAAAATGTTTTCCGGATCAATCTCTGTTGGAGAAGTTTAAAAAATTAAAACACTTACTTTAATGAGGAGAGCAGTTGAAACATCGCAAGTGAATCGGATCTTGGGGGAAAGCTCGATGACGACCATCCCGTTTTCTTTGAAGAGCTCAAAATCGTTTCCAAAGAATATCAGTGGCAGAGCAAACACCATCGTGGAGTCGTACAAGTACACTTTAGTTGTCTTCATCTTGAGATGGTACACCAGGAATCGGCCTTCAAAGTTTGCTTCATCATAGTTTATTGAACGCATGTGCAAATTAACACGTCCGTCTTCCGGTGTGATTATTGACTGTACAGACCTTCCATTTTTGAGTTTCCTTGAATGCCTAAGAAAAAAATCATTTGTAGTAGGTAATATCATTTTGTGAAAAGAAATTAAAAAAACATTGTAGGTGTGAAGGTATATTTCTACAATATTTACAGAGATATATTTAGCGAAAAAGACATTATTTTGTTTAGCTAGGCTTTCCAGCCAGTGTCATGAGAGTTCATGGTGGTGTTTTTTAGTGTCAACCGCATCGTCACTAACAGCCTATTATGGTATAAGTGACAACGCAGTTGACGCAAAAAAAAAAACACAACATGAACTCTCAAGACATAATTCGTTTACCCAATAGGTGGACTTGCTGATCCAAATTATGAGTGATTTACAGTTTTCCTGTCCATCTAAGCCTTAAATTCTCAACCTGATTAAGGAAATATTACTTCCATCATCTAGGGGGGAATGGTAAAATATATTAAATATTCTATTCTCATCAACTCAACCACAAAAAAGACCATAGACTCAACTCTTCATTAGACATTAACAAACGCTGGAAATATTAAGAATGATCAAATCATCTTAAGGATTTTCAAGCTCAATGTTGCATTTTAATTGTGGAATGTATCCGTTATTTTTTTATTCTTAACTAAATGTTTAGTTTATTTGTTAAGTGGATTACAAAGGGGATTGTAATCCAAGTTGCGTTTTGAGGAGCAAGAGGGTGTCTACTACATTCTCAATATGTCAAAGTCTTACTTGATGATTGCCACATTGGGGTACAGCCCCGCACAGATGATGGCTTTGATAAGGCCGATATTGTGAGAGTTTCTGTTGCAAGCTCGATTCTTGACTTCCTTAGCTGGTAGAAATCTCATATCATACAAGTACAGGGCAAACTGCTTCTTCATGTCTCTGAAACAAATTCAAATTCAATTTACAACATCAACATTTTGCAACATGAAATACATGACTTTAATGGTTATACAGTAGTAGAACTAGCCTATTATTATTTTACAATAATTTTAATTTGTAATCTGAACTCAATACTTTCCAAACCAACCTTTTCTCGCCGCGATGAAAAAAAGTCTGACCAGCAAACCTCTACAATTCAAACTTATAATTCACCACATACAGTTGCACTCCACATATTTGTTGAGGTAGGTCACCTACTTGAGCATGGACAGTGTGTTGGGAGAAAGGTAGTATTCTCTGGTGAACCGCCAGCCGCCGTTAGTCATATTCTCTGCCTCCCATCGTGTGAGCGCCTCTGCCAACACCAAATGATCACTCTTGGTGCCCATCGATAGCTCCTTCTTCTTCTTGAAAAACTCCTTTTCGTCCTCCTGATTAAACATAGTATGTTATGAGAGTGGACTCTTTAGACAAGGATAATAAAGTGAGTTTATGAAAATAGATGAAGGCAGTAAAAAAAAATTAAATGAAACCTGAAAAGGGCTATCAATAATAAAACCTGGCTACCACCACAGCAACCAATTTTTGTGCAGATAATAAAATTAAACCAGTCTATATCAAAATCTATATGAAACTGACTGTTGACATTAGCACACTCTGGTGTACTAAATATCACAACACACAAAAACAGGTAAATAAACTTCCACACACAAAATATAGTAGGGATTATTTAGACGTTAAACCACCACAATAATACAAACTAGGGGAAAGTTCATTATGCAACATAATGACAAGACTACTCACTAAAGGTACAGTAAAGGCATCCTTGAAGCTGAGACTGGCCGCCACAGAGAACACAGGGTCAGCGACACAGAACAAAGCTCCCATCAGGATCATCTTGCCAGTCTGAGGGTCCATGGGCAACTTGGCCAGATGATAGCCCAGAGGAGTAAGATGCTCATCATCATCTAGGGCGTTCAGGTCCTTCAGGAGCTGTCAACATAAAAGGAACAAATCAGCAACACAGAACAAAAACTCCCATCAGGATCATCTTGCCAGTCTGAGGGTCCATGGGCAGCTCGGCCAGATGATAGCCCAGAGGAGTGAAGTGCTCATCATCATCTAGGGCGTTCAGGTCCTTCAGGAGCTGTCAACATAAAAGGAACAAATCAGCTACACAGAACAAAGCTCCCATCAGGATCATCTTGCCAGTCTGAGGGTCCATGGGCAGCTTGGCCAGATGATAGCCCAGAGGAGTGAGATGCTCGTCATCATCCAGAGCGTTCAGGTCCTTCAGGAGCTGTCAATATACAAGGAACATATCAGTGACACAGAACCAAGCTCCCAGCAGGGTCATCTTGCCAGTCTGAGGGTCCATGGGCAGCTTGGCCAGATGATAGCCCAGAGGAGTGAGATGCTCGTCATCATCCAGAGCGTTCAGGTCCTTCAGGAGCTGTCAATATACAAGGAACATATCAGTGACACAGAACCAAGCTCCCATCAGGATCATCTTGTCAGTCTGAGGGTCCATGGGCAGCTTGGCCAGATGATAGCCCAGAGGAGTGAGATGCTCGTCATCATCCAGAGCGTTCAGGTCCTTCAGGAGCTGTCAATATACAAGGAACATATCAGTGACACAGAACCAAGCTCCCAGCAGGGTCATCTTGCCAGTCTGAGGGTCCATGGGTAGCTTGGCCAGATGATAGCCCAGAGGAGTGAGATGCTCGTCATCATCCAGAGCGTTCAGGTCCTTCAGGAGCTGTCAATATACAAGGAACATATCAGTGACACAGAACCAAGCTCCCATCAGGTTCATCTTGTCAGTCTGAGGGTCCATGGGCAGCTTGGCCAGATGATAGCCCAGAGGAGTGAGATGCTCGTCATCATCCAGAGCGTTCAGGTCCTTCAGGAGCTGTCAATATACAAGGAACATATCAGTGACACAGAACCAAGCTCCCATCAGGTTCATCTTGTCAGTCTGAGGGTCCATGGGCAGCTTGGCCAGATGATAGCCCAGAGGAGTGAGATGCTTGTCATCATCCAGAACGTTCAGGTCCTTCAGGAGCTGTCAATATACAAGGAACATATCAGTGACACAGAACCAAGCTCCCATCAGGATCATCTTGTCAGTCTGAGGGTCCATGGTCAACTTGGCCAGATGATAGCCAAGAGGAGTGAACTGCTTATCATCTAGGGTGTTCAGGTCCTTCAGTAGCTGTCAACATACAATGTCAGAGAAAGAGCTACAATTGGCAGTAACCTGAAGGATGTACATAGTGAGAGGGATTAAAAGGCAGAAAATATTTTGCATTGGACAGTGAACAAATGAAGATAACTTAATGGTGAAAAACATATCAAGAAGTGTTCCTGAAAGCAGAGGACCAACAAGATCCTAATCAATAAGTTGATGAGACTTGATTCGGAGGAACATATAGAAGTTGAGGCTTAATGAGGGAAATAATGCCGACTAAACCTACTGGAGAGGGTGTGTTAGTGAAGCTAAAAACTATGGTGCAAATGACTCTTCAGTAAGTGAGCAATGAGTATTTTTGCACTCATGTACAATCTTTCGTTGTTGTTTCAGGTCTTCCTGAGGACGTCGTCAGGGTTCTGCCATTTCCTGTCTTAATATTTCCAGCGTTGGCTAGATTTGTGTACTGATCTAATATTGTTTTAGGTACTTTCTAATCTAAGAACAGGAACAAATTTTGATAAAAAAACATCTCCTGTTTACTAATTATGATGGAAAATGTGTGCAATAACCCTTCATATAGTGTAAAATTACCATTGCCAAAAGTGACCTTTACACAATGAAGTAAGTATGGTTACTCAATACACTTAGATAAAAACAACTTGTCCACCAATATTAAATATTTGGCAGTGTTCAAATAAATATAGACTGAAATTATTTAAATTGAAATTTTACCTTTGTCATCCAGCTCCTGATTTATTCAACTTGTTACGGCCGTTTCAGCATCACTGTGCCATCGTCGGACTGTTCAGCCAAAAGGCGTCGTTAAAACACAAAAACATTTACACGAAACACACACATATTTGTCAAAACGGGGTTTTGAAAACAGGCCTGTTGAGGATAGTACATTCCCGAACTTGAGCAAGTAGCTGACTGGAGTCATCCTTGCATAGTCATGTCGGTTGTGGTGTTATCAGCTGTACTTTGCCCCTTTGGTCTTGGTTCTCTCCACTGATTTAAAATACTATTGAAGATGAAGTGTGATTTAAATTGTAATTTATCGTTTAAAATTAGTTCACTATTGTCATTTTTTATGTGGGCTTTGTAGATTTCAAATTCTTCCAGGGTATCTAATTTGCTGCCTTTTGTACAGGTGTGAAGGATTTCCAAGCCAGTGTCAAGGTTATTTAAGTCGTGATTTTCATCTATCAGGTGTTGAGCAAAAGTTGATTTTTGTTTGTCATTTTTCGGGTTCGGATGATGCTCTTTATATCTTGTTTTGAATGTACGCCCCGTTTTTCCTACATAAACACTAGGACAACTAGCACATTTAATTTTGTAGACTCCTGACCTGTCACCCTTATCTATAGCCTTTCTTGTAACATTAAGTTTGTTTGAAGTCTTATTGTTTGTCCTAAAAGTTAACTCTATACCATTTTTCTTTAATTCCTTGGCTAAACCATGCTGTAACGAATGGGAGTATTCTACGCATACATATTTCTTATCTCGTGGCACTTCATTACCATTTGTATTTATATTTTTATTCCTTTGTTTACTAATTATTCTGTCAACCATGTTTGTTTCATACCCATTAGCTATTGCTATGTGCCTAATGATATTGAGCTCTTTTTGATAATTAGTGATCGACATAGGAATGTTTAGCAGCCTATACACCATGCTGTTATATGCTGCAAACTTCTGTGAGGGTGGATGGTAAGAGGTGTTATGAATGGTTTGGCTTGAAGTGGTTGGCTTCCTGTATATGCTGAAATCTAATCTGCTATCTACTTTCTCTATGGTCAAATCCAAAAAATTAATCTTATTTGATTCTTCCACTTCCATTGTAAATTTTAAATTAGGTGATATGGTGTTGAGATAAGAGTGTAATAAATCCAGTTGTCTGTTATTTCCATTGAACAACAGAATAGTATCATCAACGTATCTGTGGTACTGTATTATCTTTTGCTTTTGTTTGTTACATTCTGAAAGTATGAATTTGTTTTCTATATAATTTAAGTAAATATCCGCAAGAATACCTGACAATGGAGAACCCATTGCTAGGCCATCAGACTGTGTGTAGTGAAATTATTTAAATAAACTCGTTTGGATTGTTCGAATCAAGCAATAAATTAATATCAATTTCACACATTTACAACACCAATTAAGAAATGTTTACCTTGAGAGACAGGTCGATAGCTTTGAGTTCGGGAGGATCCATGACTCGGGTAAGGAATGGCTTGATGTGCCCGAGTTGCAACATCTTGGCTTGCAATACCACCTCGTCCAGTCGGGTGCGAAGTATCTCGGGCACGGGGTAAGACTGCAGCAGTTGTTCTCTGGCTCGGGTGTACAAATGGTAACAGACTCCCTCTTGCACTCTGCATGTAGCAACAGAGAGTGAAATAAATTAGTGTCTTGCAATAAAAACTGTTAATGAAAAAAAATCCTCATGAAAAATCATTCACCTTAGTGTAACTGTAAACAATCCATGTCAAATTTACCTGGTGTATAGCAAAGTCTTCACTATGCAACCTGTAGAAAAGTTGGGTGGTGCAGAAAATAAAACAACCATTAAAAATATAAACGTTTTTAGAGCTTCTTTGCTGTCAAAACTATTAGAGATAGAGGCTACATTACAACCGTGCTAACCTACGGAACTGAGACCATGGACGGAAGAGTGAAAAGGTCGCATTATCTGAGGAGTGAGGAGCTTATTAAATTACCAAATTAATTGCTCAACCGTTATTTATTGATCGCAGAAGACTGTAATGTTCATGTGACCACGGAAGATGTTCAAATTTTTCCCACAATCAGGGAAGACAATGATGTCTACACGGCCATTTTGTTATTGAAAAAATTCAAAATTATTTTTTGACTGATAGAGCTAAAACTACTGTATTGACATTGAAAACAAACAATACATTACCGTCCAGCTCTTCCTTTCCTCTGTCTAGCATTGGCCAAACTGACCCATTCTTCCTTCAAAGTTGTAATATTAAGCGTCAAATCCAAGTTTTTCATCTTGATCTTGCCACAATCAATCACAAAAACGATATCATCTATTGTAATGGACGTTTCTGCTATGTTGGTCGCAATAACAATCTTCCTCATGCCTGGAAAATGTTTTTTTATCACTAGTGCTTGGTGCTTAATAACTTTTGTATGCTTAACTCATTTCAAACTGGAAATACGTAGTTGCCTGTGTGTTGTTAAGTAAGCGGAATGCATTGACAAAACTCACTTGGGCTTGAACTAAAAAAAATGTACAGGAACTTCATAGTGGTCAAATAATCGTACTATAACACCTAACAACTAACTTAGCTTGTAACATTCTAATCACAGGCTTAAGATTTAAAATGTTGCTTAGCTCAATGAAAATGTCAATCCATCATTAAGCAGGAGTGTAGTATAAGAGCTTCGCTTCGCTCCGCTCAAAAAATGTATAAATTTGTGCTTTCCATTTCAAATTTATTTCAAGCAGTCCATATGTCACATAGAAGCCAGTTAAATATTTTGATTTTTATGTAAATAGCCTACAGTTTATTTCTTCTTGTCCGAACACCTCCGTATTACCCTTGAGTTACCCGTATTACATTAAACTAAAAAAAAAAAAAAACAGTCTCGACCATCTGAAGTTAATACAAATATGAATGGATGCTTTTTGAAAAAACAGATTATGTGTGAAAAGCTAGTAAACTGAACACTACAGTTATACACTAAACAATTAACAATAGAGGATTTTAGCAATGACATAAGTACCAAATGGAATAACGCTTGACAAACATGTTCTGACTTGATTGTTTGCATGGCTACAAAAAAGTGAAGAGTGTGTGAGTCCACAGGTGACTGTCTGAACCATTCCAAGTCTATGCCAAACTAATTCGAACAAGAGACAGTTGACTACTCGTACAAAATAACTTATTGCTTACCTGGAGGTGGTTTGTCGAAAACAGTCTTTTGAGCAACTGTGGACAACATTGAATGTAGAGGGATCACAAGAAAACCAGCTGAAACAATAATTGTGATTTCATTTACATTAGATCAATGGTTGTAATATTGGGACACATAAAAATTATAACAGAAAAAATAATTTCTATGACATTACAAAAAACCCCAATCAAATAATTTTTTGTTAAAAATTTTTTTTAATTATTGAACGGCCTAAACTAAAAGTAATTTTTTGGTTTAAACTATTATTTGATTTTGAGCTGTCATTTTGATTACACAAAATATAAACAAAAATTTTAATGAAATTTTTATTTTCAACCTGCAATTTGAAGAAGTATCATATCGGAACGACATATTAGTGCAACAGTAGACCCCCTCTTAAAACCAATCACACATTAACCAATAATCGGATTATCCGCTCTCGATTGTAAAATATCACAGTTTGTTTTAATCGACCTTGCTTTGAGAACAGTTCTGTTTAACCCCCGCTTTCTAGGAATCTCGGCATTTTCACTCCCACGGTCCATATAGATGGTATGTGTACTTCAGTATCCAATAGTGACAGCATACTCACTTCTTTCACTGAACCCCTCTTTAGCCAGCAGCTTGTTCAGGTTGGATATCTTATCCCAGCCAGGCAGGAACACCAGCACGGCTCCTTCCCCTTCTGATCTGTCTATGTGCCTTATCAACTCCACTATCAGTTCCAGACTGATCTCTTCTGATTGTGGCTCGTACAGGAAGTTAATCACCTCTGGAGAGTACTTCTTGGATTTCGATATTTCTCTAGAACAATATTTCACATTATTTTCTACATTTTCATCGTTCTTTAATGAGAACGACATTTAAAACCTTTTAAGTGGATGGTAACTCAAAAAAATCTTTTCTAATGTTCACCATCGTGACTGTAAATATTACTACAACCAAGTTTCATAGAGATGTATGCAACCTTTTTTGCATTTGTCCAGTTGTAAACTTTCAACTTAAATAAATAAATAAACTTCAACCATTGTTTCCTGTTTAACATTTCCACTTTTACCCCTCAAATATGATCTGATAATAATACACTTTAAGATAAAGAGATTGCCCACTGACCTAGAAATACAACTGGAGGTAGCACTGGCATGGCCTTTCTGCTATAAAAACATCATGTTGTAAAATTTTGTTATCTTAGAGTACCAACTAGAAGAATCAACCAGCTCATTGGCTCATGACTTTATTAAAATCTCACAATATTCAGCCCCTGGTTTAAATGAACTACAATGTACAATGTCTACAATTTACTATGCCCCTAGTACATATGGTGGCCAATGTCTCTTTTTTTTAAAAAAAAAAGAGGTTGGCGGTCTCTTTTAACCTTGCATTTGCCCGTCCACATAGACTAAGCGCCCGTGCATGGATCGTTTACAGCAAAGCAAGGAAAGAGCCGGTACAGTACAAAGGTGAACTGTACTGATAAAATGTTATCGGCAGTGACCAGGATCCGAACCCACGACATAGCTGCCTTGGGCCCGAAGTCCGCGACGCTACCGACTCACTAAATGACTCTCAATCCTCACATTCGGCGATACCTCCAGTTGTATCTCTAACTCTAGTTCAGTAAGGTTGTCTGGCTTCATTCATTTTTGTATCGATCCAGTCAATCAAATGATTTTTTTTGGCTGGTACCAAATACAATATCTATGATTCCTTGCTCGGTCTTGGTAATATATGAGTAAGGGAAGAACAACTTAAATAGTTCATGAGGAGGGAAAATAACAGTTTAATTCACATAAGCTACGGTAAGAGGGATTGCTAAAAGTTATACCTCAAATAAGGATGTACCATTCCCTTGAACTGCATCATGTCTTCTTGCTCTTCAACACCTCTTCTTTTGTCTTTAGGAAACCTTTTGAACCTTGAAGATTGTGGTCTAGGAATGTATCTAAAAGTAAAAAAGTGTAGTCATGTTATAAAGAACTCAGACAAATTGATCATGTACCTACATTTATGTAATCCAGAATGTTGTAATAGGGCAACTAAAAAATTGACACATAAATTGGTCATCTTCAGATCTGTATTGGATGCTTTGTCACTTGGATCTGAACACAAATAACAGATTTAAGACAAAATCAAATAAACCATGTTCTTACCTTGTCATCTGGAGAACGTCTTCCAGATAATACTCCTTGACAGGGAATGTGAAGCCAGGGATGTTGATCATGGCACAGTTGTTGTAGTACTTGGAGAAGTGGTCTGCGTTGAGAGTTGCACTCATCAAAATCAGATGCAAGTCTGGCCTCTGTACAAGTGATTGCAAACATAATTATCACAGTAACACAAAATGAGGGATGAATGGAATTCAGGCTGTAGGGAACTCTGTGAATGGCTCCTTCACCTAGGTCCACTTTTATTCTAAAATTGTGTACATCTTTTGCAACGAGATGGAATGTGTACTATCAATAGTCAAAGGTTCTACCATTTTATCGCATGGCCAGTTTATGGCATGTACAAGAAGGATTTTCACTTTATTCAGCATAATTTTTCATTCTTTATTTACGAGTTTTCTGTGAAACAAATTACACATTTTAATAGGGCTCAAAGCTCGTCTCCAAAGCATAATGACTGATGCAATACTCTTTTACATTTCAAAGATTACTTTAGCAGAAATAATTACTCCAGAAAAACATTGTCACATGAAAATACAAATAATATGAATGTTTCCAACAAAATAAATTATTAGATTAATAAATCTATTTAGGATTAAGTTAGAACATGACAGAGGGAGCCAGATGGTCTACTGTTAAAGCACAAGACTCCAGTACCCGAGGCCCCAGGTTCAAATCCCGCCAATCACCAATAGCTTTTATTAATCTAATAACGCCGTAACAACGCCGTGACCCTCTCAGCCTATCCTTAAGTAATCTGTAAAACTTACATACTAGAGCCTGGTGCCCTCTGGTGTGAAGGGAACACATTTTAATTAACATGACAAGAGTTGTAACTATCGTGGAGACCGACCTTGTGTATGATCTGCTTGAGTATGGTGATGGCAAAGTCGCTGATAGTGTCTCGCTCGTGTATCTCGTCCAGTATGAGGTGTGACACCCTAGTGAGAGCCGGGTCATCCTCCAACATACGCAGTAGGATGCCTGTCGTACAGTACAGGATGGACCCTCGTTCTCTCGGTGGGTGCCTGTCAAACATCACGTTTTGGAAAATATAAAGTTTTTGCAGTGTTTTATCATTTACAGAGGTACGTACATAGTAGAATAGCTTAGTTTTGTCAATTAAATGAAGTTGAAGAAACCCCCTTACAAATTATTAATCAAAACGGATTTCTTAAACTAGAATTGCATTAGACCTAATCCAGTATTCTCGGGACTTCAGCAGTGCCAGTTTGTAAAAAATTTTGGATTTCTGACCTCCAAAAAATAAGATAAGAGAGTGAAGAAGGCTAGTAATAAGCATCAGGTGTTTGTGTTTAATTGCGATTTTTGGTTGAAAACTTGTTTAATTTAATACAGTATTCTGATCTTTTTACACTAAAACTACACTGTACTATGGCACTGGCTAATGAGTTCTAGAAGGAATAAAATGGTGGTATCACTTCCCCTTAATTGTTTGTGATTTTTATGTAATAAATTCATTGGGGTAGACAATAAAAAAAATTAAAAAACCAGAGGTAGAAAAAATAATCTACCTAATTTTTCAAAAGATCATGTTGGGAATGCTGAATTAAGTATGTTTATATTTACAATGCTATTAGTACAAACTTACGTTTCCAGACGAATGGTGTAGCCTACGCCTCCGCTGCCATCCACAAGTGTCTCGTTGCGCTCGGCAGCCACCCTCTCCGCCACACTAATGGCAGATATCCTACGAGGTTGAGTGCAGACGATGTGACAAGTCGACCCAAGACCTTTCTCTATCCGGTCGTCCAGTATGAACTGTGCTACTTGTGTAGTCTTGCCACATCCTGCCAATAGTAAACAACTATTATCTCACACTTACATTAGTACTTTTTTAAGGTATTTAGTTGCATAATTTGGAAGCAATTCACATTACTTAACGCTAGGCCTAGAGGGTGAAAGTATTATCTGGTGACTAAAGCCGTTAGTAGTTGGCGAGATTTGAGCCTGGGACCTCAGGGAGTAAAGGCCAGCACTCTATCATATCCTTTAGATTAATGTTTCTTTCAACGAGGTTGAGCAGCTTTAAAATCATAATCTCATTATATTTTAAAATATAATGGCAGATTTCATCTACACAGTAACTAATAAAGTGGTAATTTTAACAACATTGTTCTAGTCTGACCTCTGCATGCATAATTCTTTTAGCTATTTATATCAGAGAAGGAGAACCGCCATTAATGTCAAGCATGAGTATATGTTCAATGTTGCAACCAAAAAGAATGAAAGCAACAGTAAACTAGGCAAAAGTAGTTCTTAGGACAGGTGACTCAATCTTCAGATGGATAAGAAAGGGGTTGAAGTTCAACTTGCTTACATGAGAAAATTAGAGTCCAAGGGCTAATAGGTGCACAATAAAAATCTCAAAACATAACACTAATAAATATGTTGTAGGATATAATAATATATGAGTTCTTCAAAGAATGTTTAGTAAGAACCTACAACCTACTCTATGAAGAAATCCTACATTATTTTATGCCCACCTTCACATCTCGGGATGTAGGCTCTGGCCCAAAACCGTTAAACACATTTCCTCAGGTTAGGCCAGTTGGGGCATACTCATCTAAATAAAATCTATTGGCAATTGGCGGGATTTGAACCTGGGACCTTGGGGAATTTTGGTACTGGACGCTCTACCACTGGGCCAGCTCCTCCCAGAAGAAGTCATATATTAGGACGAAATATCAGTGCCATGTTTTGTTACTTTTTATTGAGTATCAATTAGTCCTTAAACTTAAGTTTTTTGTCAGTTAAGTTGGCTGAACTTTTTCCAAAAATTCTTATACAGATGGTAATCTTGAAGAAAATTACAAGTCATCAGTTGGTAAACTGGTTATTGATAAACTTGGAGAAACTAACCAGTTTCTCCGCTGATGACAATGATCTGGTTTTGTTCTATCATGTCAAGTAGCTCTTGTCGTTTGTCCCACGCAGGCAACTTTTTTCTGAACTCCTGCATCCCCTGGTACTGTGGACTCTGGCGTTTATTTTCAAGGTCATCCAACAAATCCTGATCAAGCTGAGGGATTCTGGATAGCTTCTGCATGATTGGAAATGAATGAAAATAAGTAAAGTACATGTTTAAACAAATAATTTAATATAATACTAAAAAAATTTAATATAGAGCACAAGGACATCTCATCACCTCATACTTTCTTTAGTTGAAAATGCTGTTAGAAACAGTTAAATATTGTTATGTTTTCTGTTTCTTGTTCTTGATATGACTATTTTCCTTCCATAAGCCTGTTATCTTCACAAAACAACAGGGCTTTTTATCTCTCTATCTGAAAACTAAACATGAGCATTTGTGAATTTAGTGAACAGCAACAATGAAAGTTAAAGAGATAAATTTTAAGCCACTTCCTGAGAGTTTATCTAAATGTATTTGAACTTACGGATTGCATCTGAAGAGCATTGTTCACATTATCCATCATTTTTCCAGTAATACTTTGTAAAAACAGCTTCTTGAACGGACTATCCTCCATATGTTTGTATTTGTCACTGATCGTTTTCTTACTCATGACTGGCTGCGGTTTGCGAACGAGTTCCATTTTCAATGACCTGAAAATATTTTATATCAATGTTTGGAATGGCGTCTAGTACACTTTCTAAACGTAAAATGAGCTAAGAAAATAGGTTATTACCGCTACTGCTCGGAAAAATTACATAACATTGTCTTTCTGTGCATTTTTGGAGCACGGAAAGTAACCGTTATGGGATTTTGCGGTACAGACAGATCAGCTGTTGCGGTATTTGCTGTTGCATTATTAAGTGCACGGTAATAACTCATAGCGCTGGAACGGAAACTCAGCGAGTTTAGTTTTAAGTCAACGAGTTATGTTTTTTTTTTCTTAATACTAATATTAAATAAAAAATAAAATATTTAATAAAATAAAATAAAATATTTAATAAAATTAAAAAAAAAATTTAATAAAATAAAATAAAATATTTAATAAAATAAAATAAAATATTTAATAAAATTAAAAAAAAATATTTAATAAAATAAAATAAAATATTTAATAAAATAAAATAAAATATTTAATAAAATAAAATAAAATATTTAATAAAATAAAATAAAATATTTAATAAAATGAAATATTAAATACAACAACAATACACAACACTCACAACTAACATTCAAAATGGACAAATATTCATGTTGTTTACAAGTTATTTGATATTGTAATGAAAAAAAAAAATGTTCAATACTCGTCTCAAAAGTGCCATTGCAGGGCTCGATAGCTTTTTCCAAATGTAATCTCTCCCGACAATAAGTCACTTTCGAGACTAGTAATGTAAACAACTATTACAATCTAGAATCTAGTGAATGTCACCGAATTTCTTCTTTGTAAATAAAATAACCTTTTTTCCTGAGTGAATCATTTTAGTGCATTCTTCCGCTAAGCATTAAGACCGAGGTTTAAGATCTCACCTTGTACTCTCTGGAGATCTAGAATGTGATCTTGATCTTTTCTTCACTATTCGCTCCGGTATGTCCGTCTGAAGAGGCTTCAAAAGAGGTGTTCCAATTGAATTGACAATCCTCCTAATAGCCTTTTCTTTGTCCTTGTCCAAATACAGTTTTATACAAGGCTGTCAAACAAGACAGAATCTGTTTAAAATAGTAGAATATTTACAAACTTTGCATTGTACGCTGTTATACTTCTATCGAGGCATAGGATAGTTAGCTTTTGATCATTTAATTCTAATTACCGTAGATTTAAAACCACACTAAGTAGGCCTAGTCTAATAACTTTTTAATCTGCCAACCAATAATACAATACTTTTGAAATAATTGCAGAAAACAGAACAAAACCACTATTTTTATGCAATTACTATTTTTTCAAAACAATCATATAGTGTATTCTATCCCAGGTATTACCTAATACTGATTCAATTCTTAGTTAATATAATTAACTACCCAATATATTTTAAATAAGAGTAACAGAAATTGCCAATCTGAATTTCTGATTAACAATAATATTGTAACACACAAAAAACACCATTCATCAAACTAGTGAGGTAACCTGTTTCGACTCGTTCACAAATTTAGTGGTCCCAGTTATACTTGAAAATTAATAATTGGTCTACATATAATTTGCATACCTCTATTTTGTCTTTATCTTCTTTCTCTCCTTTTCTTTTACTTCTGTCTCTGTACCACATACCTAAAAAAATAAACTGGTTATTTTCATGTTGTATGTTGTTTTACTAAATCACTGATGATAAAATATATGTATAAGGTTACATTACCTTGATCGCCAAGTGATCCATGTAAGTTCAAAAATAGGATTACGCACGTTTCGACGTCAAAGCGTCATTGTCAAATCGTACAAAAACTTTTCTAAAACCATATGGTGGAAAACGGTTTAGCCGTCATAGAGTAAAGTAGGTTTCTTATTATGTTCCATGTGGTTTAGAAAAGTTTTTGTACGACTTGACAATGACGCTTTGACGTCGAAACACGCATAATCCTATTTTTGGACTTACATGGATCACTTGGCGATCAAGGTAATTTAACCTTATATATATATATAATCTTGTATATATTTTAAATTGATTATCTAGAACTATAACCTACAAACTATTAGTTATGTAAGTTGGCAAATGGAAAAAAATGTCTTGCAATTAAGTTGCTGGACATAATTCATCTAAATCATTAAGCATGCAAAGTCGGAAATTTAAATCACTAATGTGATCAAATAAATTACTTTCCAAGGGCAAACCAAGTTGGTGGCTACTACCTTAGTTAGTATAGATGTGTTAGTTAGACATCAGCAGTCTGTTTGGTATTAATCTTGGCAAATACACAGGTCACTGTATACCTAATCACCAATATTTTCTGGAATAAATTAATCGTTTATTGCAGAAACCCCATAACCAACATTTTTTTCAGTTGTGTGATTTCTATACCAAAGGATGTATTTAACCCATGGGGAAGGAATTAATACGCTGCCTGCAGCACCCTCTGTAACCTATGAATTGAAAGAAACAAAAAGTGTATTAGCACAAATGTTATTAGAAAGAAATTGTTAATATTTGTCTTCAAGCGGTAACATGGGATTAGCTGAAGTGATGGTTTTATTTCAACAAGTCATTAACTCTCGCGGTTGCAAAAAAAATCATCATCATCTTCTGTGATCGCAGAGATCTAAATGTCCCTGGCGATTGTTTCAAAATTGAAACTTCATCCCCGCCTTGAACTCAGGAAGCAGATAGTTTAGTACCTAACAATCGACCATAAATGGTCAAAGCTTACCCAGTGCTTTTCCCCTCAAGCCAGGTGGCGGCCTTTCCCTCTCCTCTCCACTGTCCCTTGGTCCTGCACCTCGTCCTTTGCCCCTTCTTCTGAAACTATCCTCCATGAACTCCATGTTTTCAATTTTTGCCCGAGTTTCCATCAATCCCTCCATGTATCCTTGTCCCCGACCACCTCGACCTCCTCCATGATATCTCCCAAAAGCGTTCTTCTTCCCTCTTCTTCCTCCTTTTCCCTTCCTCCATCCAGAGGATGGTTCTGTAAAAAAATTGAAATCTCGTTATCTTAATTAGAATTTTCAAAAGGCGTCTTTAAAGGAACACAACGTTATAATTACTGTGGTTTATTTCAAAACCACAAATAAAAATAAGAAAAGGTTATAATAAATAACCACTAGCCTCATAACAAGCGTGGTTACAAACATCGACCTTTATGTATTACCGTATTTTCATAAGACGGCTTTCTGGTGCTTTTTACTGGTTATTATGACCAATAATAAAGGTCGCCAACCCCTTAAAAAAAATGAAATAAAATTAGTTTGCTCAGTTGTTGATGTACATACTGTACATGAAAAAATAAAAACTACCCCTAAGCAATTGCTTGGTTCCAGAATGTACACTCACTTTTTTTAGGTTTTACACCACTAGCTTGAATAGAAGTGGGAAATGAGTTAAGTTCCTCTGAAGTGGGAAATAAGTTTAGTTCTTCTATCTGTAAAATATTGTTCATTGATAACATTAAGCATCATGCCAAGATGGATTTCCGTTAAAAGTGACAAGATACGGTTTATTATTTCAATCTTAACAATGGTGGGTAGATAAGAGGAAGAGTGAATGTGACATTAGGTTAGTATCCAAGTAATGTATCAGTCATGACACATAGATGACTAATAAGTTAAAATGATAATAAACATTAGGTGCAAAGTTATGTATACCTACTCAAAGGTACAAGTAAAGTTTTATTTAAAGCGTTCAAAAACATAAACTTACTAGGTACATAACACACAAAAACCAACCAGATGATAAGTAATATAATAAAAATGAGGTAAAATAAGAAAATAAGTGATAAAGTTTTAATACTTAACAATAAATTAAAATTTAAGTACATCTAAAAATTTTAACTACAAAATAAACCAACACCACAGACAAAAACTAATTTCTAGGTTAGCAATCCAGTTGCACTTTTTTAACAGTTTACACAAGCATTAATCCCTTTGGTCATAAAGATAAACCAAATTCTAAATTTGTAAAAAATATTTATGATCACACAAGAAAACACTCAAAAGATTTTAGTATTAATTTGGTTTTCTTTAGTACTATTTTATTTATAAGCTTAACAATTTGATAAAAGGCATCATCTGTTTGGAAGTGAATACATGGAAAATAGTTTACTTAAAAATAATCTCTTAATCTCACAACACAGTTAAACATTGATAACGAAGCAGTGTGTTTGATCTTTATTTCACAGAAGCAGAAATTTATTTTCTAAAACTTCATATTCATTCATGAATTTTTCTAAAATCTCATTCACATTTAGGAAAATTAATTATGCCCTGCACAGAAAAGTAAATGGCATATTAACAGATTTCTCATGTTGGCATAGAGTATTTATTTAAACAAGTGGTCATCCAGTGGTCGAAAACTTTACCAAAAATTTGATATGTTCTATATTTTCACCCCACGCTGTAAATAAAACATGTGAGTGATTGTAATTTATTTAGTCTGATTTGATTTTCTGTTTATATTTTGTTGTTATTTTGTCACCAGCATGGCAACCCATAAGGCCCATGTTATTTTTTTTTTTATTATTTTTTTTGTGCTTAGGCCTATTTTTTAGCATATTTTAATTTATAAAGGTATTCTGCCCATCTACAGGAAAATATCTTTCTGACAATATGTGCGTGGATTTTCCCTGCGATGTACACAAGCTGAGAAAAAAAGGTTTTAAATAAACATGCTTGCCTATTAATATATAGATTTTAACTGTAAGAATAACATTAAGGATTTTTTTAAATCCAGTTTAGTTCCCCCAAAGATAAAGTAAAGTATTGATAAATATTGTTACTTGACCTAGTCCCACTTTTAAGTGAGGATTTTTAGTTTTATTTACTATTTATTTCTATGTATTTACTAGGCCTAGGTATAGTTGGTAGGCCTGGCTTGCATTTTAAAAAGAATCCTAGCAATTATTAGGAGCATGCATCACTATAATTAGTATTCCACTGAGTCAAACCCTAAGTGAAACAAGCTTAAAATAAACTAATTATTCTATATCGTTGATCGAGCACCCTACAGATTTAAACACTTCAGGCAGCACATACTTAAAGACAAGTACCCCTGCCGCAGCAAACCTGCAGATTAAGCAAATTCCCATTTGCCAGATTTTATTTGCATTTTAATCTATAACCCTCCAACTGGTGGGGAGGAGCGAGCTGGTCTAGTAGTTAGAGTGTGGGATTTCGGTCCCTGAGGTCCTGGGTTCAAATTCCGCCAAATTACCAATGGATTTTAAGTGATAATGCCTCCCCTAGGGCTAGCCTGAAGTAAAGTGAAAAACAATCCCAGGCTCGTGTATAGGTAGCGTCTTAGGAAAAAAACCGACTCCAACTGGCAGCGCGACTATAATAGTCGCGGTTGGTGGTTTCTGTAGTGGCAGAGACAGTGGCAGTAATAGTTGTGTTTTTTGTTTTGCAGGGTTTTGGTTAAATACAAAAAAATTGTTAAAAACTATGAAACGGTTAAAATGAAATATTTTTTATTAATAAAAAAAGCATAAAATGGATGAAAATGAAGGAAAATATTAGGCTACATGATATGAAGGGGTCCGCGGAATTGGCTAACTCTGGAACTCGCTAACCCCATGTTAAATGCCCTATCTTCAAATTTGGTCGATGAGAGGAACTCGCTAACTTGTTCGGTTTCGGAATTGGCTAACTCCGGAACCCGCTAACCCGCTCTAGAGCCGGGTTAGCAAATTCCGTCCTCGTACGGAAGTCGCTAACTCGGTCCCTCGGCGGAACTCGCTAACTCCCAATCAGAAGCCTCGCGGGCCGTCCAATGGGAGCCAAACACGAATATTTTTGGCCAGTGTTGCCGAAAGTGTAGTACCTATATCGTATCGGCACCATAATGTCGTATCCTACGCTTAATTAGGAGTAAGAGCAACGTAGTCGATAAAATAAATATATTTTGAAGTATGTTTAACCACAGAGAAGTTCTTATGATTATTAGGGTGGAAAATGCATTATAGTCTTACCATAGACTAACCAACACAAGTAAACTTTACATCCCATTGTAAACTTTGAAGCTCGTTTTTCGTGTCTAGTTCATGTCCGGTGACACTGATCGCTAGTGTCGACAAAATTGTGTTTCTATTATTTTATAGTTAACTTCATGATTTGTTCCTTACTGTTTGGTTATATAACTAGGGGACGTGTTATTAGTTGTGATTAGAACGTTTTATTTGGTTAAACGAGGTTTTAAATTACTGAAAACAAGAAACAATTGTAAACAAAACACGACCTCTAAAGACAGTACACCGGACAGAACTAACAATACAACTGTCTTCAGATCATCCATAAGGATGAGAAATGTACTAATATAAGGGAGTATGTTTTAGTGGGTTTCTTACTTAAATAGTAGCTTATTGGTGTGAAAAATATAAAAATGCACATTTAATTTGGATCTATTACATGTTATGAAATATCTATTTTCGTAGTCCGCCATTTGTTTCTTTTATTCGAATAAATACCATTTTGTGAACTTCTGCAAATAAAATTTTTGAGTTCGTATTTTATATACTGGGCTTGTAATAACCTTAAATCATAAATCATAATAAAATTTACACGTTAAACGTCATTACAGAATTACATTGTAGTGGTTATGTATTTTTAAATAGAGCTAATGAATTTAAATAAATATTTATCAATACATTATAAAGTGGTAGGCCTAATGTATTCATGGATTGCATTAAAAGTTAGTCTATGCATAAATACAACTTGTAAATTTCTTTTATCGTAGGCTTTTAGTGTAGAACCCGGGTCATCCTCTTAATTTTGTTGAATTAATATTAATTTTACGTCTTTCAGTAGGCTTACTTTTTAAAAGTCTGGAGTTTTTTTTCCAGGCTGATTCTATCTTATCCAAAAACAAAGCTATTGTCTATTATGTAGCTCAGTACTGGGGAACGGTGAACCGAGCAATGGCTTGGTATAGTTTATATCGTTTGTGAAAGCAATATAAAGGAAACCCAACACTCAAATCAGGAAAATCCGTCAATTAGTTTATTAAAAATCGTGAATTAAAATAACCCTGTCACGTTTTATTATATGAATATTATATCTTCTCCTATTTTTTACTAGTGGTGCTTAGGTGTACAATCTAAAAACTGTTTTAAAACATGTAACATTATTGCTAAAAAATTCAACACATTTTAGAATTAGGCAACTATTTACTAGTAGGCCTACAATGCTTTGGTTCAAACTATTAGGCCTAGATAAAAACTTAGTCTATGTCATCATATTTGTACACGGAAGTTGGACGGTTCAACGACGAACATTTAATTTAAAATCTATGAATTAATTATGAAAGTTACGATGGTTGATGACTGTATTAATTAATGGTTTTGGTTTATTACGACATTACAATTAAATCTGTTTTCCGTGCTTAAGAACTTGCGTGTATTTTAGCTTATTTTCGTAGAGGTTTAATTATTTATTACCAATTAAACTAAATTTTGAATATTTTTCATATTCTATTATTTTCTTTTATACTGATGGCATTTATATTTAAGATCGAAATCATAAACATTTAACTGGCCATTGTACAGTTTAATAAAAAACACTTTTTCATGATGTTTTAATTGTCTTTTAATTACTTTGGGCTAGTTATCTGTTAAAAGTGGAATTGATAAAAAAAAAAATAACATTTACTGTATCTTTATAGACACTGACATTTTGAAATACGGCAGTGTACGATTATTTTGTCGTACAAGGCTGGCAACGCTCCGAGCAGTGGGCGCGGCCGGGTTAGCGACTTCCAGAGTTAGCGAATTCTGCCACGAGACAAAATCGAGTTAGCGGGTTCCGGAGTTAGCCAATTCCTGACTGAGACGGTTAGCCAGTTCCGCCACACGACCGAGTTAGCGAGTTCCTGAGTTAGCCAATTCCTACGTCTCATATATATAATATTCTCTTTTAAATTATTTTACTATACTTTAGTTGCGCTGCTCATGCTTTGCAAAAAAGAGAGAACGCAAAGATGATATTGTGGATGTTGGTAGTCGTGAACGAAGGCTCAAAACAATGTGACTATTTTAGGCGGGTCGTACTGCGGGCGGCCCGTCGCACAAGCTGGTGGCTTCGTTCCGTAAGTGGACAGATCGGCCAATTATGGTCACCTCCGTACAGGACGTTGCTTAACCTGGGTCAACCCTTCGGGAAGTCGGGACTCATAATCGTCTGTAGATGACTTTGGTACCAAATACTTACCGAATTTGGTAACTTTTCCAATGCAAACTGCTGGATCATTAGGCGCTTGTTTTGGATGTAATCAATGTTATCAATGACCACAGATATACGTGTCACACCGGGGAGGCATCAACAATAAGAGTCCTAATAAAATATTATAATGTAAATAAAATCATGATCAAAATCACAGCAGTAACTTTATTCGCTAAACAATTGTAGCCTACTTAAGTTAATATGTTCCTCACCCGATTTGACAAAAGGAATTGACATTGGTAAGTTGACATAAAGACATTGATAGCCACCAAATACGCCAATTTCTTAGTGGCTGTTGTGGGGATGAGCATCGATAGGTCAACCATCGATAACATCGACGTCAACCATCATGTACCAATAACATCTTTGCAAAAAATTTTTTTGTCTGCTTTTTGCACTCACCCTCCAGTAGGCCTAAGCCTAATGGAAAATGTCAATACCCATCTCAATACTTGGCTGGTAGTGCTGCCTACAAATTGACAGGCAAAGCTCCACACGGTCAGCACTCTGGGTTATAGTAGTATGTTTTCTGTGTCCCTGGTCTGTTGCTCAACAAAACAAATAACACTTGCACCCCTTGGCCCAGGCCCATTTGTAACCACGGTAGGCGGTACTGGGCCTAGGCTACCTTATAGCCTATAAGTGTATGTTAATGATTTAGGCCTACAAGAATAGGGGCTGCTAATTAAGTTAATCTTAGCACATTTTATAAGCTTACAGTGCAAACAAATTTTAAGATATTTACCTTCATCCATGATTTAACTTTGTTTTCAATATCGATGATATTGTTCACTATTAAAGGACTTTTTAAGCATACTTGATAGTCCTAGTTTGGTTATGTTTGTGTTGAGCCAGGGTAAGTCCAGTCCAAAGCATCAATAATTTATTTCCAATAATATTTTCAATGCCAGAGAATTAACACGATAATTGAATATAGGCTGATCGATTTCAATTTAAAAAGTTATAAGAATGTCACTAAATTTCACAATAGGCTGCAATGAAACAGTAGAGGTTAAAGATAGACTAGAAACAGAGAGCAGTACTAACTAAATCATCATTCTCATTGTTTTGTTTTGAAATGAAAACTAGGTTGTCTTCAGTGTCAGTGTCTTCTTCTCTTTATAAAAACACAACGATAATCACATCAGACGGCTATGCAACATCACAATAACATTCACAACAAACAGAAACAGCTGAGAGTTGATAAGTTCTTCTGATATTTTTCCTCAGCGCAGCGATCGGCTATTCGGTCTCGGCGATCGGCCTAGTCAATTAGTCATGTGTCCGTCCAACAGCAACAGGTACTTTATAGCTTGTCCCTTGTATATCGTCTTTATAGATAAAAATTTCCCTACCTCCAAATATAAGTTACCGACTTTCGAAATATCATGCAATATCAATGAAAATTAATTTGGAATTTATTTAGCTGTAATAATAGATAAAACCATATAAAACATACTCCCTTATGTTGATTAATTAATTGGTCCATGCTGTTATTTACTATGTTTCATTCTTCAATAATAAATGATAATAGTATTTCCTTGTTTTTAAAGCATATTAGGGTAGGGTTACCTTATGTTAAAATTTACTTTATATAACAGAGGTATAAATACTTTGCTTTATTAATTTACTAATTACTTCAATGGTTAACTTTTACCTCACCGCTTAATAGTATGAAACTTCTAACAAAAATGGATGTACTCTAACCGTAATAACACCGTTAACAAAAACACCTACCATTAGTTTACCAGTAATATAAATATTGAAAAGCGTACCTATGACAATAATTAGTTGTGAATATACATTTGATGATTAATAGTTCATTAGCACAGTCCTATTGTAAAATGGTGGGGACCATTGAAAATAAATAAATCATAATATAGTACATACCGGGAAATAGTAGTAAGATATTAAGATGAATAAGTGTAAAGGAAACAGGCGACAGATAGTAATCTGTTAATGACGCACCCATCTTGTTATCTGATAACACTGTATAATAACTTGTTTTAACGTTGTTAAATTGGTAGTTTGTAAGGGCTACCACAGTCTGTACTAAATACAATGAAATTCCCCTTTTACTACGAGACATTGATTAAGAATGTGGTATTCGGGGTTTTTGTTAATTATATAAAAATTGACAAAATTAGATGGGGCATGGATACAATCATTACACTAATTCATTTTTATTTTTAAGCACACTGCTTTTGCATTTTTAATCTCTTCTTCGGTCGAGGGACGGACACAAAAGATAACTTACTGGTTTATATACCTCTTACAACAAAAGAACTTAAACAAATATATTTTTCATTAGAATAAAACCTCTAGATATTATTTTTCAGTATTGTCATAGTGTCTTTAAAAAAGCAATTTGCCAGCTCCATGCTTCAAAGCATTGTTTTGTTAGTAGCGTAGTTTGTGGGGGTAGCGGATTTTTATCCCCCTGGGTGAACGTGACGTCACAAACCAGGGGGTAAAATTCCGGCCGCGAACTTTTGAGTTTCGCGCCATCAGTTCGATGGATTAAACGTATATTTTCTCGGTTGTGAATTTAATCAGATCAAATCAAATTATAATAACCTAGAGTGTACGGACCGGAATTTTATCCCCAGACTTTCACCCCTTCATGAGGTCAGCTCAAAATGTACGGCCCGGATTTTTACCCCCGGAATTTTACCCCCTGGCCAGATATATAAATTAGTGAGAATGGTTAATTATCTTCATTCAGTCTTAAATTTAATATTTAACATTTTATTTTTAAGTAGCATATCTTAATTTGTTTGTAACATCAACTAATCGAACAGGTTTTGAATTTTAATTTTGAGATTCGAGTATCAGGATTCGATCTTTGAAGCCAACTGTTGATTAAGATGGCGTACAAACAAACATCAGAATGGTAATTGATTCGGAGATTTATTTAACGATTTATTCAGTGAGTGTTATAACTGGTCAACCATTCTCATTCAATTAATAATCTTGTGCAGCAGGGCTGTGTCAGCAGTAAATTGTCACTCATCCATCAGTGACTTGTAGACCAAGCGTCAAGAAAATTGTGTCAATCGGTAACTGATGGTAGGGGAACTTGTCTTAAAATTCACCATATTAATAAGTAATTTTCGTTTAATTTTCTATTTTCTCAAGGCATTCGATTATACAGTCCAAGAAGATGGAAATTTGGCTTGAGTGTGGTCAAACATTTACAGGTTCATTCCTGATGAGTTTTATAGATTTACCGCTCTTATTATTAAAAAAATAGTTCACAACCTTATCAAGATATTCAAAGCTTGTATTAAAAGGTGTATTAATTGTGAAACCTTAAATTACATATAATCAATACCAAAAAAGTATAGGTGTAAACTGCATGGTGTTATGATTTAGCCTACCAGCTGCTTGCACAACCGGATTTAGAAAACTACACTACAGCTCGATCGATTCCGAAATTCCGATTGTCTTTTTCTCCTCTCTCTTATCCGGGCCTCGTATCCCTTCTGTTCTACCACAGAAATACCAAAATGGTATGTATCTATTTTAATCTTAAACTACTGTTAACATCTGCATGAATTAAAAGCCTAAACTGATATTTTCTTATATTTAACTTAATTGTAGCTATTCAAACCTAATGACTATAGTGTAGAGTAGAATAATTCCGTCTACGACATAAGTTAGGTTATGTTTTCCTTCTCTACTAGGTATAGCCATGTTATTTTTCTATCCCTGGTTTGAAGTTGGCCTAATCCTATCATCAGTTAAAATTGAAACCCTATTATCGTCACATTACATTCCATTTTATAAGAGTAATTTTATTTTATATCTTAAAAATTTAGCCTAGCCTGTAACTTGAGGGTTGATTTGAAGTCTAGGCCTAGGCCTAGGTCTAACGTAATTATGCCTAAGTGAGCCTCGGTTAAATTCTAAAGGAGTTTGAGTGACAGGTAATTAATTGCTGTTATGATTTCAAGCTTTTACTAAAATTGTTGGTCGTACTAACTTAACTTAAATAAGTTAGAATCCTGTTAATCTTGTAAAGGTAACTTAAGTCTAGGGGCTAGGCCCTACCTGTTTTTCTCTAACTTACCACAGTCTTTCACATGATTCAATTCATAACTTAGGCCTAAGTTAGTTGTTTTAGGCTAGCATATTACTTGGTGTTTCATAATGGATTACCCATCAAAAATTTCTCATGATCTGGGTCAACTAACTAGGCCTAGAATGAAATCGTATTCTAAGGGCTAGGCCCTACCTGTAAGTTAATGTGGTTCATTGTTGGGTAAACACTTAGGTATGCATTAAGTGTAGCAGTGGCCAACGATCGTTCGCCGTGACACCTAGAATGGCCACCATCGTAATGCAATAAGTTAACTTGGTAAGTTATTGGCCGAAATTTTTTTAATGGAAAAACAAACACTTTTAACCAACTCAGATGTGAACAATATTTAAAGCATTGGTAAGATTCTGAACTTACATTTTATTACCTACATTTAAACAAATCCTGGTACCGGTAGCTGGTTAACAATGTTACGACGATTAGAAATCAAATTACTTTTTGGCGAAGCACGACTTTAGCAGCTGACACTTGGGAACAGTCAAAACATGGGCATTACCCTCCTCGGGTAATTTTTGTCTTGGGATGTTGCGGGTGGTACCACTTGGATAGCCCTTGAGTTAATTTTCATTGTGGTAGCCTAAGTTATTGATTTTTGGAAAGAAATGTTGATTATACTACAGTTACGATTATATGAAAACAGCTTTTTTCGGAGTTTACAACAAATGGCCAACCATCGCAATACGATAGTACGGCAAATACGAATTATATACAGCGTAATTTATTATTAATAGTCATGTAATATGTAATTTTGAAGAGGTAGAAACAACTTAAAGCTTGAGAGCCCTTTGTTCGTGGTTATTTCCGTTTGCTCTCAGGAAGACGACGAAAGTGCGTCACTAATGATAAGGTCTCATACACAAAGTGCCTTGTATTGTTGTCGGCGAGTTTTCGCTCTCGTGTTATCCGTGATTTATTACCAAGTTAGGTGTATATTTTTATCATTTTGTAGTGTTAGAGAAATGTGTGTATAGTAGCCTAATCTTTATGCATTTTCTTTTGCATGAATAAGTTATTAGGTACTGAATAGTGTGTAGGCTAACCCTGTTTGGTAAAACTATCGACCTCCAGTCAACGTTCCAAAAAAAAAAAAATTTTCCCAAAATGTTCGTTTTTAGGGATGATTCCAAAAATGATATTCATTTTTTGCGGAAACGTCCCGTTTTCCCAGTAAATGGGAAAAACGGGGAAAATCTTTTTTTTTCCAAAACCCCATGTTGTGGGTAAGTTACTCAAATTGTGCGGAATTTCCTCCTGAACAAGAATACTTATGTAATTTTTATTACGATCAGACTAGGCCTATTAAGTAAAATATCACCGAAAAGGGGCCGCTGGCTACTTATATACCCTACTACCGCATAGCGCTAGCATTGCGGGTGACTAAGCCAATGTAGAATGCGGGCTTTATTTTGGGTTAGGATTTGTTAGGTTAGGTTAAGTTTGGGTTAGGTTAAGTTAGTTTAGGTTAGGTTAGGTTGAGTTAGTTTAGGTTAACTTAGGTTGAGTTTGGTTAGGTTTGGTTAGTTTGGGTTTAGTTAGGTTAGTTTAAGTTAGGATAAGTTTGGTTATTTAGGTTAGTTTATCAATAACATGAGTATTGAAAGTAAACGAACCTTACGAAACTTATCCTAACCTAACCAAACTTAACCTAACCTAAACTACCTTTAACTAACCTAACCTAACATAACTATAACTAACCTAAGCTAACCTAACCAAACTCAACCTAACCTAAACTAACCTAACCTAAACTAACCTAACCTAACCTAACCAAACTCAACCTAACCTAACCAAACATAACCTAACCCAACCAAACTTAACCTAACCTAAAATAACTTAACCTTTTTAACCAATCCTAACCCAAAATAAAGCCCGCATTCTACAATGACTTAGAGTCACCCGCAATGCTAGCGCTAGGCGGCAGTAGGGTACATAAGTAGCCAGCGGCCGCTTTTCCGGTGATATTTTACTTAATAACTTACTTAATACTTTGGTGGTCTGATCGTAATAAAAATTTTCTCATATAATCGCTAAAAAATATAACATTTAATTACAAATATTTATAAATAAAAAATTATTTTTACCATTAACTTTGTGACTTGCCTTAAACTTCATTAGCTCCCCTATAACCTTTTTACATACAAATAACTCTACGGGTTTCAATTTTTTTGGTTCTCCACTTGTATTACCGGATATAGGCTATTACGCCCAAAAATCTAAAAAAAAAAAAAAATCTAGGCTAGGCCTAACTTGTTATATATTTCTATGTAGGGAATTAGATTGTCTACAAAATTTAAATAATGAATTTCCCATAAAAATCTGTAGAAAAAATTGTACCACTGCTTTAGAAATAAAAAAAAATTGTATTCTTTTCACCTTAGGCCTACCGAAAAAACTTTCTAAATCATTATTTAGTATATTATTATTTCTAGAATCTCCTGTCCTTTCCGAACAAAAGGAATATGAGGTTGGCTAGGTTTACTTCTACGGATTAAATTTTACAAATTTTTTAATAAAGGTCTGCAAAATGGCCAAAATGGTTGGCCATTCTACACTTCTAACATTGGCCACTGCTAAGGTTAACTTACAGAGTTTGCACCCGATTTTTGAAATTTTTTTCATTCTACCTACGGTACTCAAAATTCAATGCTACTTCCGGAAATTACGTACTGTTTTAAGTGGAAAACTACCAAAATGCCCTTTTTTTACTAAAACACGTTAAAATTTTGGGTACTCAAATTTGCATAACCGGAATAACTTAATGAGCAGATTTTGATAAATTTAAGCAATGAAAGAATTATTTTGATCCGACGTCAAATAAGTTCAGTTTTGGCGAGATGTAGACGAAAATGAAATAACTAAGGTCTACACTAGCAATAACCCTAATTTACTAAGTTAGGGGATTGGTGGTAATTTGGGGTTAGGTGGGGTAGACAACCAACGTGGGTAAGTTAATCATCGGGAAATATTACAGGTAATAACTTAATGGGTTTAAGTTTAACTTAAGTTAATTGGTTGATAGCAATGGGAACTTTCTCTAAACCCTATGAGCCAAAGTTCTCTAAAGTGCTATATGCGACAATATATCGGTTTGTGTCTTTTTCCAGAAAAGTGCTGTGTTACAGAACACTATATCGTTGTTCGTGTTCCATTCGAATAGCGTTAAGCGACGATAATTTCATGCCGGCGGGACTTACGGCCGTGTGAGTTTAAATGTGATAGCCTATCAGTTGACTCGGTTGTTGTTTCAACACAGTGATGGTTTCTTTCGATTCCTCATACGATCGAGGCCCAATATATCGTTCCTTAGCACTTTTGAGATGAAAAATTTTATTTTTTTCTTGCACTCCAGACTTTGCCCCGGGGTAAAACTAGAACTTTTTGGTCAAAATAAGTAATTAAAAAACTCAAGCATATTGAAAAAAAAAATTTTAGCATCGAAAGGGTTAAAACAAAAATAGTTGAACACTGATCGCTTGGGTTTGCTGATTTGTGCCTGCATTTAAGTGTTTTGGGAAGTTAGGTTAGATTTGGAAGGTAAAGAGCACAGCCATCCCTCCCCTCATGCCTTTTCTTTTATAAAAAATGTTTTTTTTAGAATTATACAGCAAGATTGGTTAGTTTCATTAGGCCCTTAGGCTTTAGTTTAATTACAGTTCATGTAGGCTACAGACTACGTGGTGAAGTATAAAGTGCAATAATTTGCTATTAAAACTGGGTAACTGTGGAATAGACAGTCTAGAGTTTTTGGGTTGTTGAAGAGTAGGCTACCTATTCCAAAAACGCATGTCTATTCGTCATTTATTGATACGTTTACATTAAAAAAAAACTTTTCAGGCATTATTCAAATTATTCAACATCCTTTATCGAGTGTTCTTTTTCAGCTTAAACAGCAAATTACTAATACACACGTAAATTACATGCATTACAACTAACCTACAGCATAAAACTTTGATGCACATATATTAAATATATTATAGAATCATGTTACGCTATGCAAAAATTATGTTACATAACAATATTAAAATATAAAAAAATATTAAAATTAACAATTTAAATAGGTACTGTAGTTTGAAATAACTATATTACTGATTAATAAATAAATAGGTATTATATACACTACCAAAGAACCATAAATAGACAATAATATGCAACATGCAACTAGCAAACATGACTAATTGGCACTTTTTATCAAACATTATTTATATTACCTACTATTTTATTTAAATCTAAATATGCTTAAAGAATCGATAAGATGTCGACTTCTCGGACAGACAAATTATATAACCTACACATGTTGTTTAGTGGTAAATAAGTTTTAGAAAATGGTATAAAAAATAAATTTGCATTACTTGAGGCGAGGCGATGAACAGCAAAGCTGATACATGAAGCTAATTCACTAATTCTGTATGAAAAACGGTATACAAAAAAAAAAAACAATTCAAAGTGTAATAACTTATTACAACTGCCCATTTGATGTTTTATTATCTGTAACATAATCAGAAGGTTGTAAATTAAATATTTTAAAATGAAATGCTTCCTGAAATATAGCTTTTTAATTTCACCCGGTCGGAAAGACTGGGAAAGACTGTGCCTCTCCTCACATTTTTATGTAAATCAGTGCGACCTCTGTCGGTTAAGCCCAATTAAAATAACCTAGAGGTTCAAGTTTGGTATGGTTGTAAAAGTATGTATAAGTTATGAAAGAATTGATTTTTTTCTTCATTCTTCTTTTTTGTGTCTCCTCTGAAAATTGTAGCTAGGGTATGTCAATTTAAATATTGTTGAAGGGAGGCTCATTGGTATTGTAAGCTCTACCTAATATAATTTCACTCTTAATTTCAGGCCAAGCGCACCAAGAAGGTTGGAATCACCGGTAAATATGGAACTCGTTATGGTGCATCTCTGCGTAAGATGGTCAAAAAGATGGAAATCACACAGCATTCCAAGTACACCTGTTCATTTTGTGGAAAGGCAAGTTTATTCTAATTTGTTCAGCTTATTAAAATATGTCAATTAAATATCTGCTAAAAGCTCTTAAAGCTGTATTAAAAACTAGAACCTAGGTGTTGATTCATATTCAGTAATAGCATATTGTGGCTGCTTGAGATTATCGAGTGTGGATGGAGTTTTCCTGAACCTATACCTGAGCTTTATTATTTAGCCTAACTTTAGGATGAATTCTTGATGGTTCAGATTCATATAAACAAATTTACAGACAATCATAGCTACAAAACGCTTATATTATCAGTCAATCGGTGACAAGACATTATGCTATGGTACCTGTTGATCTTAAATGTGATATTTGAATCCGGATTAGAACAGTCACAGTTGATGGGGGGATACTGTTAACCTTAAACTTAACAAAGTGTGTTATAGGCTACTTAAGTTCAGAGTGGACCAATTGTGAGTTACATGTGCTATATAGAGGTTTTCTTTAATTGTGATGGTTTGTCGTGATTTCACATTCTGTAGGTGATTCAAGCTTTAATATTTTTGTATGTAGCCTACATTCAGTAATTGTGTATTTGGCTAAAAAGTTGGGAGGGGGAATTTTGCTTCAATCTGTTAAAAATTTACAGTATAAAATTAATAAGCAATCAGTTAAAAAAATGTCCAAATTGATGTTTCCCTTAAAACTACATTCTAAATATACTACACTTTATGCGGTTTTGATTTGCACTGTACTTGGGCAAAATCAACTATGTATCGTGAAGACTACCTACAATTTGGATGTTGATAGTTTTTTGCAGTGTTGAATCTAACAGTTGTTGTGTTTATTACAGGAAGCCATGAAGAGGAGTTGTGTTGGCATCTGGAACTGCAAGAGGTGCAAGAGGACTGTAGCAGGCGGAGCCTGGGTTTACTCTACCACAGCCGCTACCTCTGTCAGATCAGCTGTGAAACGTCTGCGTGAAGTCAACGACTTGTAAATGTTTCATTTTATTAATAAAATATAAAAAATGTTTTTTTATTTCTTTATTCTAGCCCAATATACTTAAATCCTTAGTTTTCAGAAATCATTGTTCTACTTCTGGATATTGATTTATATTAATGGAGTTATTTTGTTAGGCTACCTTACAATACCCTTATCTGTATGGTCGAACTAAGTTTTGTGGCAACTGCCACATCATCAGGTTCATCCACTTCTATGATTCGTGATACATAATTTGAAAAGTTGACAGGACACATTTAACTAAAAACTTAACATCAATTAAATCAACATCCTTAGTTTTGTTGTGCACATGCACAATAATAATCTGATGTTTTAAAAATTGGTGGTAGCTAAAAGATTTGTGTAGGCCTATTTGATGTTTGGTAATTAAATTCACACACAATAATTATGGTTATGAATGGAAAATTTAACATCCTTAATACGTGAAGGCGATTTCTGCAAAACACTACTCCTCGGTTAATAATGGATGGATTTTTACAAAAGATGTGTCAAAAATATGTAATGTTTGTGTAGACGCCCCCTTTCACCAATTCCTGTAATAAAGGTGCTCGAGCTTCACCTCATAATCCATCAAAATCAAAATGTGTTTTTTATGAAGAAAACATTTTGTTTACTTAAACAGACAAATAATTTGTATTAATTACAGCTGTTCATAGTAAACCCATGATACACGCTAAAGGGTTCGTTTTCAGAGTGAGTTCGTCTTGAGTTTTGATAACTGGAGTGGAGTGATTGATTACATTATCTTTGAGTTGACTCATTTAAGTCATCAGAAATTACGACTGTTATTTGTTTAGAAATAACACCTGTAATACTTTGCAATTTGTTTGAATCCAAGCAACAGGTGCACTAGTCTTCCCGGCAGACGTTGTCTTGCCTTTGACTATTTATAATCCCGCGGGCTTTGCCCCGTTTAACTTCTTAATTTTCAAGATGATCTTGTTCGCATGGCTCAATCACGTCCTGGTTGAAGTTCGTTCGCTACGCTCACTCACCTTTAGGTTGGAGCTCGTTCGCTACGCTCACTCACCTTTAGGTTGGAGCTCGTTCGCTGCGCTCACTTGCCTTCAGGTTAGCTCGTTCACTACGCTCACTTGCCTTCAGGTTAGCTCGTTCGCTACGCTAACTCGCCTCCAGGTTGAAGTTCGTTCGCTACGCTCACTCACCTTTTGGTTGCAAATTAGCTGTTGTCATAAATGTAAAAGAAATAATAGTGCTGCACCCTGTTGGTAATCCTTGTAACTTTAATGCTATTGAACATCATAGAACAGAACCAACTTGTTTAATTGAAACAGCTGTTAAGATTCATTAATTCCATTTCTCATAAGGTTAACATGGGAAACTCCAGAGCCACTGGGGCGGAGCCGATTGGACGGATCACGAAATTGATGGTGTATAAACCTATTCCATGACATTCTACACGTATGTACCAAGTTTCGTGGCAATCGGTTCAGCGGTGTCTGAGTTTATCACTGCCAAACAAAAAACAAATATATATATATATACAAACATCCTCTTTTATACTATAGATAAAAAAGGTTTTCTCTGTTACATTCCTTTTTCAGCCTCAGTAATCCTGCTTAACAGATTATTACGATTGAGGCGCCATCTTGAAGCTTATGATATGATATAGGTAGCAGAGACAAATGGTAACGAAACAGGTAAATTTCTTCAGGGCTTTGCCCCTATTGTGTTTGATTTATTATTTTACACTAATGAAAGAATGTGCTATACAGTATATGGATAGCATGATGGCTATTCACTTTTAAAGATGCAGTTATGCTAACCGACTTTGTTTAATGTTCATTGTTGGTGATTGAGAATTAATGTTGTTATTGCAGACATTTTCCATTACATTTAAATACAATACACAACGTTCCAAGATCCTGTCCTTAGGCGAAAAAACTAAACTAAGACATTAAAACAATACACAAAACCCAACCTAATAGTAGCTTTGACTATTAAGGCTTGTCACACACTGTGTCCGGTCTGGTAAAATCGGATCAGGTAAATTCGAAAACCATTAATTTAAATGGAAGTCCCCACACTGCATCCGGCACGGTGCGTCAGGTCCGGTCCGGTAAAATTATTTCGGATGAGAAGCGATAGGCTTCAGGCAAGCTTCTGGCGCCGAAGAGCTCGCGCTTGCGCAGACGCCTTCTACTCACCATGTGACAGTGGCAGGGCAGTAGCAGCAGACTTGGTTTTGTGGTGATTGTTTACGCTGTACATTTTTTACAAAATATCATTAGAAGAGAAACTGATTGTGCTAGTACAGAAGTTCCATAAATTTCTTGAAATTCATCTGGAAATACTGAAAAACTTGTTTTCCTCAATCAAACGTGGGAACAAGATATGAAAATTTCCCTAATTTATTCTACTCTGGTTTATACCGTGCACCCACAACCTCTTCTGACAACCTCTTCTGTCGCCGACGCTCTTTCTCTTCCGAATTTTGTTATAACTGTCTAATTTGTTGTTGGTTTAACACTTCTTCAACTCACAGTACCGCTGTCCTCGCATAGACTGGTCGCCGGAACTGGAACGCCTGATGCAGTGTGTGGAAATTTGCCGGATCCGGCGAAAAACACCGGATCAGAGTTTACCGTAGTTGACGCAGTGTGTGACGAGCCTAATATCACTTCAGTATCTAATGGTATTAGAGTCGGGACCACATAAGTTTGCAGTTGAGGGAGGAGCCTATTTACCATATGGGTTTGAATGAACCAATGAGAACCGTGCTGCCAAATCTAATAATACCAGCTGATTTGAAAATATTGCTTAGTATATTTTATTAGTGCGATGTGGCAACGTTGCACTAGCCTTGTCTTGTGATTGGCTGCCACCAACTGCAAACTTACGTGGTCCCGACTTAAGGCAAGTATATGCACCGTATAGCAGTCTTTAACATGTTCGCTACCGAGCTACGCACATTTGTGTCGGTCTGGTTACTCCCACAGACCAAAAGGAATCATCAGAACGTTGCGTCGCTTACAGACCAAGTGATACTTACTTACTTCTTACTTTTTGGTACGTGCATCCAGCTTCAGGTAATGCCGACCGCACGGTGTCTCTCATATACAAGGTTGGCCAGTCTCCAGTATGTGGGATCAGTTAGGATTCGTCCAAGAGTACAGTCAGGTTGGAGTCTCTTCCTCAGCTCATCTCTGATATCCAACTTGCGAGTGCAATGAAGGAGGATGTGTTGCAACGTTTCTTCTTCCGTTTGACATACCAGACACAGGGGTGACTCAGCGAGTTGGAAGCGAAAGAGATATGATTGGGTTACAATATGCCCTGTTCTAGCTCTTGAGGCAAATGTTGACACAGATCTTGGCAAGTTTTTGTAAATGTCTGTATTGTTGGGTTCCTTGAGCAGGTCATACAGATGGCGACCAGTTGGTTCATCTTTCCACTTCTCTACCCATTTTTGCGTTAAGGGCGCGCTTTACCCCTGACGCGCAACCGAATGCAAGGGTTTGCAAGATTTCTCTTTTCACCTGCTACATTGAAGATAGAATCAAATTTAAGGTCTCATATTAAAGAGGATGAAATTTTCTATAGTTCTGCGTTTCTATATTTCAATTATCTTTATTACACACCTTATAAACTTGAGTTTTAGTACAAGAAAAAAGGGCCTTTTCGACTAGCCGTAACTTATTTAAAAAACGTTATTTGAAAATTTTAAAAACGCAGAACTATAGATTGGTCTTTTTACTACTATAATCCGTTTAGAGTGCGTAGCTATCATTATTGGTTAATTCGAAAAGAGTAATCTTGGAAACCTCTGCAAATTAAAAATTACCACTGTGCAGTGCCGGCGTCTAGCGGCAGCTCGGGGAAGCTCGCCGGAAATCCCCCTCTCAGCACCGCTTCTCACCCCTCCAATGCTTGATCCACGTGTTTCCATCTGTCAAACCTGGCGCTACTCTACCTCTGTGTTTAACTGTGTTTGTGAAGTTTAGAGATAGTTAAAAGTGAGTTTTTAAATGCCTGGAACTTCAAGGAAAACTCGTGTCAAACGACATTTGACACTTTCCACTAAAAGGAAAAGGTCTACAGCGAAGAATCTTGATAAGTGGCGGGAAAGAAAGAGAAATATTTGGTGAGTGGTTTGTTATATTATTGTTATTATTATTGTTAATTATGTTTAGGAATCAATATAAGCCAATTAATAAGCAGATAAAATAAGTACCGTAACTGTCTTTATAGGTTTGAAGGTCATTGTCAAAATAAGGCGAACTTATGACAAATAAGGCAACAACTGTTATAAGGGTTATAGCTACCAACAGACTGTCATTGTTTTGTTTATAATCCATAGCAAAAATCTATACAATCTATATCAGCTAGTACTTTGTTCAGTGAAATATAGTAATAAACAGTGTACAAATAAATCTTAGATCTGTGTGTACCGGATAAGTAAATAACAGGGGGCCATTGTTAAAAATCAAATTATTAGTACTAGTTGTTTATACTCAATACAATAAACGCGTGGGCAATTTTTTAAATGTGTTTTAGATTACCATAAGCGGGATAACTGTATGATTAAAAAAACGAAATACTTGCCTACTTAATCAATTGATAGATACTGGAAAATGTGTAACGAATATCAAAAGGTCCTTTTTAAAAACATTGTTTTTAAATTATGGAAAGTTTATTGAACCGGAATGAGCAATAAATAATCATTAAAAGGTTTAAAAAAGGTAACCTAATCATTATTTAAATTTAAACTACCCAATTTTTTTCAGCCTAGTATCTGCAAGCGAATGTCAGTCTAACGCTACTGTCTTCCATGATTTGCCAAAAACAGATGAATCAGGCATTACTTCAAAACATAACACAGTCATGTCAGAAATGAACAACAATGATGAAATAATAGAATCTACTGATACAAGGTAAGGTATTAATTCGCCCTGCCTGCCCGTTATTTAGCTTTTCATAAGGTTTATAAAGTATAGATGGTATTAAAGTATAAAAGCCCTTCGAAAAAATGTTGGAATGCATTTTGAAGA